TGGCAAACTTCTTCTGAACTAATCTTGCCAAGAAAACCCCATGATAGATTCACCTTAGGGTCACCATGTGTCAGAAAGGACTTGAAGTTTATTTATTTATTTATTTCATCTTTATGTTGCCTTTCTCCCAGAAAGAGATCCAAATGGCTCACAAATAAAAGACACACAACACCAAAGAGTCACTAGGCAAAAAGGGACAGGGTCTCTGTCCTTTTAATTGCACTGATTCCCAAACTTTGATCCTCCAGATGTTTTGGACTTCAATCCCAAAATTCCTGACTGTTGGCCAAACTGACTGGGGCTTCTGGGGGTTGAAGTCCAAAAACATGGAGGACCAAAGTTTGGAATCACTATTTTAATGCTTGCTTAGAAGAAGAAATTTGAGTAGGTGATGCTGGGCACGGCTGCTGAAGATACGGTACTTCTTCTACACAACCATTAAAGGGTCAGGAGCCCCTTCCATTATTTTCCATAGCAAACCTAAAGGGGATGTTCTGACTGAGAGTAGCAATAAGCCTTTGGACAATGTGTACCAGGCCAGCTTGATAGCCCTGGCCAGTCTTGACCTGCACAAGCAGTTTTTTCATGGGTTCAAGTGCTATTTTATGAAGAAGGGAAGTTCCCAGTGTTGACTGTGGGAAACAGCAAGGCTCTTGATAGTTCCAACCACAAGGACCAGCTAGTTCCTGACACAGGACTCTTGTATGGCAGTAGGGATGAAAAGGTATTCAACAATTATAAAAAATGTGTTTCATGAGTCTTAGAAAACTCTGATGAGATCCTGGACTGATGAGAATCAGATTTTTGTTTGTTTTGCACAGAAAAGAAATGTTTCTGCTCCAAAATAATGTTTTTGTGAAGGAATTTTTCTGTCTTCTCTATAGAAAATCTGTTGTGCAAAAAAGTGTGAATTTTGCACTGAATAAGTTCCCAACTATGAATAGTCTTCATGGTGTCTGTTATTAAAGGAGGAAGAAAATTGCTGAAATTACTTGTTACTTCCCTTTAGCAATAGCAGCTTCATTTATATACCACTTCATACCACGCTATGCAGTTTACAACTGTAAGCTAGTTGTCCCCAACAAGCTGGGTACTCATTTTAGTGACCTCGAAGCGACCTGAGTTGAGCATGAGCCCCTGGCTGGTACTGAACTCACAACCTTGTGGTTTGTGAGTGAGTGGCCACAGAACAGGCATTTAACCACTGTGCCACCAGGGCTCTAGAACAAAATTAACCAAGAGTTATATTTCTATATGGCAGAGAGAACAAATTAGACAGGATTCTTGCTTATGCTTGCAAAGGGTAAGATAAGTACCAAAATTCACATTTAAGGAAAATCCCTTGTTTTATAACAGAAATAGCTGCCAAACTATCTGACCAGAAAGACTATGAAATCTTCTTTTAGACACCACAGGCAGGCTGATGAAAATGGAGTCCCATGGTGAGTATGAACAACCCTCCGCAGTACCTGTAATACTATTTGCAAGGTACAAACAATATTTCCAAGATCTCCCAAACTGAAATCATTGCTATCATGGTGAGCCCTCCATGCTTAGTGGTAACTGGTAGGTCTCATGTCAGTGAGACAGTGCATGCACTTTGGATTTTAGTCTTAATCTCAAAGGAATCAGCAAACCCTATGCTAAATGATTTCAGCACCTCAGATTGCTTCTTTACTATTCAGAATGGATTGGCCATCTCACTGTCAGGAACCACCAGCCATCAGTGTGCTTCTCTATCTGGTGGTTATCACAAATGTGGAGTGTGGTCATGGAGACTCCCAACGTTATGTGGAGTAATGTACTACACCTTAGTACCAGGATTGGTATTTCTCCTCACAAGAGAGGTTTTTCCATGTGCTACTCCTATCACTATACAGTTCAACAGTGTTACAAGTGTGCAGCAATCACTATATAATACCCCAGTGATAAGGATGTCACTTCCATATAGAGAAGATTTGGAAGAAAATTCCCCACTGTGGGATGCATGTGACATTGATAATTGCAAAACAGTTCAAGAATTGTATTAGCATAGATATTGCAACATGGATCTCAAGTTTTTTTTTTTAATCCAGTATCTAATAAGGTCATTCTCCTAATGCAATTACTTTTATCAGCAGGACTGGGAGAGAAGAAGAATGCCCTCCTCCCTGTATGAAAGGGGACATGGAGAGCTATAGGTGAAAGGGGAAGAAAGTCTTATACCAGTGATTAGTTGTTAATACAGCAGTGGCTTTTGACTTTTGGCTCTTGAAAATGCCCCATTTAACACATCCCCATATAACAGATCTTTGCCTCAACATTTATTTATTTAATGAAAGTATTTCCGCATCGCTTCCCAACCCACAAAGGCTCCCAGATGATGAACAAATGCAATGATAAAATGATAACAATACAATGATAAAAACATTTTTAAAACTCTTTAAACACTCCTATATGTGGTCTAAAAACAATCCTACAATCTAATTTTGAAACAGTTAAAACAGCATTTTCAAACACTGAATGCCGTGGGGAACAGCACCATTTTGGCTGCCCAATGGAAGCTTAAAAGAGATGGGGCCAGCCTAACTTCCTTGAGCAGGGAGTTCCACAGTCAAGGTGCTGCTATAGAGAATGCCCTAGTACATGTACCCACCAACCTAACTTCACGGCCTCCTGTGAAGATTTTTGGCAGGCTCATATGGGAGGAGACAATCTTTGAGACACCTTGCCCCAAGTCAGTTAGGGCTTTGTAGGCTAACACCTTGAATTAAACTCAGGAGCAAATTGGAAGCCACTGTAGTTCTTGGAGGACTGGTGTTACATGGTCCCTAAAATGCACACCTGACACCAATCTGGCTACTGCAAGAAATAAAGAATGTTTATAAACTTTTCCTGACCTCTTGTGCTGGTGAATTTTCCAGGTGTTTCCTTTACCAGCATCACGTTTGACGTCAATTACCATTGGTAGTAATTGGATCTCTACATAGTTCTGGAGATTTGTATTGTTCTGCTAAATCCCTAGAAAGAGAAAGTCATTAGCCCAGGATTATGTTGAAGTTGATCTTAAAAAATGAGAAGTTTCTAGGAAACATGAGTAATTTCAGAGAGTGGTTGCGTGAAAAAAGGTTCACAACCCACTGAGAATTTGGGGCACTATCATGAAACTTTCATTCAAGGTTAGCCCTACCATTGGGCAGAGTGTGCTGACTGCCTGGAACAGCTGTTTTGAAGTGTCAGACAAGGCAGGAAATAGAAAAATTATTTAATTTTTATTGCTACTTGTTTTTTTAAAGAAAAAACTACTTTTTGTTACTAAGCAGAGGGAAACACACTTGTGGTATTTCCTACCGCAAGTGCCAACATTCTGGGCTATTTTCTTCAGACAGCAGAATGTCTTGGGCCTGCCCTGTTACAACAGCTCTTTGATATAAGTGTGACCCCAATGAAATAAATGTGAACCTGTTCCAAAATGTGACCCTGATCCAAGTTTAATGTGGAAAAGGTAAGGCAAAACTCTGTCCGATAGGGTTGGATAGGAAATTCATGAGCAGAACATTCACAAAATCTGAAAGCAGGGGAAAATGAAGTTTTGGCTGTCCTTATTCATGTAATGAATATATAATGAATGTGGAGATCATTATATAGGTTTATTCAGTTAGAGCAGGGGTAGGCAACCTTTCCCCATAAAGGGCCGAGGGACTTCAGCTCCCAGAAGCCTCAGCCATGTTGGCCAATAGTCCCATGTTGGCCAATAGCTCCTGGGATTCTGGGAGCTGAAGTCCCTCAGCCCTTAAAGGGGAAAAGGTTGCCTACCGCTGAGTTAGAGCAAAGCGAAGCAGCCTCATTTATATACCACTTCATACTGCGCTATGGGGTGTCTAAGCAGTTTACAGTTGTAAGCTCATTGCCCCCAACAGTTGGGTACTCATTTTAGCGACCTCGGATGGATGCAGGCCTGAGTCTAGCCTGAGCCCTGGCTAGTATTGAACTTGCAACCTTGTGGTCTATGAGTGAGTGGCTGAATACAGGCATTTAACCACTGCACCACCAGTGTTTAGTTTGTAGGAAAGGAACCCTCTCTCATACATATCTCTGCATGTAGCTGCCCCATATTCCAGCCTCTACTGTTAAATAGACCTAGTCTTTTCCAAATTAGCTCAACAGTATATTTTTGTAATGACAGGGTGAATTAATGCAGATGCTCTGTTTGTATTGTAGCTGCAATTATGAGATTTCCTTGGAGGTTTAGGCTCTCGTCTACATCATGCCTTCTGTGATGGTTGCAGATGTCCTTTTGAATTGACCTGATTTGAATATTCTGCAATGTAGTTAAATAAATGCATGAAGGGGATAGTGTCTAACCCTACTTAATTCTATCATTGCTCTTCATATTTAGAGAATGACAGTGTAGAGAGAAAAGCCCCTGTGATGTGTGGACACTGTCCCTGAGATTAGGAACCTTGATCTCCCATGTTTCTTGATTACATGGAGGGCATGAGAAAGGATTCAGCATGTGAGGAGACTGATGACAGGAGGTGGAGCCACCCCTCTTCATCTGTAGACTAATGATTTTGCAGAACACTGGAGTAGAAATTCCAAATGTAGGTATTTCTGGTGAATTTCATCCTTGCATTGAGTAATGTGGGTAAAACAGTTGGAAATGTTTTCCAGAAAAATTAAAATATCTTTATTGTCACTCCTTCTCAGCACTGTCCTATATAAGGATAATGGAACAATTACTAACCTGTTAAGAATAAGCTACACACTTTGGGGATGCAATTGAAAATAAAAAGTACAGATGAAAGGCATGCTAGGAAGGGAATAGGGCTGGAAGGCAGGGTTATGAAGGTCAGCATGCAGAAAACAGAAACTGGGACCACAGCATCACCATGGCACTCTTGAAGAGCTATGTGAAAATGACTGTCTTCAAACCAGTATTTTGGTGCTTCCTACACTAACACAATTGTGGTGTCTTAGCAGCCTGGTGTGATAAAGTCCATACTAATGATTGCCAAGGAGCCAGCATGGCATAGTGGTTTGAGTGTTGAACTACAATGCTGAAGACCAGGATTCGATTCCCTGCTCAGTCATGAAACCCACTGGGTGACCTTGTGCAAGTCACACACTTTAAGTCTCAAGGGAAGGCAGTAGCAAAGGCAAACCTCTGAACAGATCTTTCCAAGAAAACCCCATGATGGGCTATCATAAGTCGGAAATGATTTGAAGGTACACAACAATATTGATTGTCAGCTCTTGCATAACCTTAAAAAGGGATTCAAGAAATTTATGGAGGCTAAGGCTATCCATGGCTACTAGTCACAATGGCAATGTATTCACTTCAGTATCTTGAAGCAATATACTCCTGAATACCAGAATATTCATGTCCTGCCTGTGAGCTTCTCATAGGCAGAGTTGGCCACTATGGAAACTAAATGCTGGTACAAATAGGCCTTTGGTCTCATTCAGCAAGATTCTTGCATTCTCATGTTAAGCCATCTTCTGCTGGGAAAGTCAAAGATGTTATTGAGTTCAGTAGAAATGTTGGCTATTAATGAAAGAGGTAATTAATTTAAATACCCTTTAAAAAAAACAGGCCTTTGTTATTGGAGTGAGATGAAGCTTTCAACATAGCTTTATGTCTTCTCCATGACAAAACCCAATGTTAACAGCTTTCCTACAAGGACAGAAAAACCCAAGCATATGCTGAGGTCTTGAGACAATATGCAGGGTGCCTTTGATCAGTACTGTGCGTACAGGTTTAGTCAGTGCATGTCATTTTGATCAATGTTGTCCGTAGCATCTTTCATGTGAAGGGAAACATTCCTCACAAATTCTGGTCTGTTTGTTAAGTCATTAAGAAGAAAATGCAGGATCAATTTATTATCGGAGACATTATGAGTATGTATTAAAATGCTACATTACCATATTTCTCATTCAGCCATGTGTCCAGAATACAGATGTGATATCGGATACAGTTGCCTTTATAAATTAAATGGAATTTGACAAGTATGAACAATATTCTGTTGTTTCTCTCCCCAAAAAATCAATGAAATACAACAACAAAAAAGAACCTGGTTTTGCTACTATGTGCCAGATAGTTTAAACAATTCTATATGAATTATCAAGTTATTCTATTTTATAAGCATCTTCTTAATCATTTTGCTGAACAAATTAAGTGATGGATGGTTGCTTTTGAAAATAGTTACTAAAACAAATGCCATTGAATGTGTTGTGTCTGCCAATTTTTATTAACTTTCTGGATTTTTTAAAACCTGACATGCATATCAAATTAACAAAATTTATAATTATTATGTGCTAGCTTTAATAAGAACAGAATCTTCTTGGTAGTGCAGATCAAGTAACTGCTTTATCCAGCACTACTACTACTTCTTTTTTGCAATAGACCAATAAAGCATCTCCAAATGTTGCTAAACTCTTTCAACAATCACATAAAATTTTCATTTGATGATGAAAAGCTGTACCCTTTGATAAAGCATGCTCCACTTGTTCTTGGACAACAGCCCCAGGTGCTCTCATCATTAAGAAAACTGGCTAAGCTGATGGCAGTAGCATTTCAACAACATCTTTGTCAACTGTTAAAGCAGGTTAAGATGTACATGTTTTGGAGCCTAATTTGTTAATTTGGATCTGGGCCTAGTTTGGTTAGAATCAGTCTGGACCCAATCTAAATTAGAATTTAGTTATCAGACGAGGCGAAACAGGACAAATCCCATAAATTAAACTCTTCCGCTCATCCGGTTTATTTCCACTTTCTCCCCGCGACTCCCTGTGTGATAACGTCATGTGTAAAGGCTCAAGAGAAATTTTAAATGGATAGAATGGGCTACTAGGTGGAAATAGCCACTGCTCCTTACTTTAGTTAATCTATCTCCCCTAGCCACACTTTATTGAAATAGAATGAAGCTTTTCTAGAAATGTAGAATCTTGACAAATTCCTCTCCTGTCTATTAATGCCAACAGAAAATACC